ATGCCAAATGAAAGGTAACAACTAAATCTATATTTTGTTCGTCTTCGATTAATTTTTAAAGGTCTCAGTTTTTCTTAAACAATTTTTGATTCAAGATTTTGGATAAAAAATGCATGAAAATTTGAAAAACATGAAAAAATTTAACTTTAAAATTAATTTAAAAAACAAGTAAAGCTAAATCAGCANCACTGCTACCTCTAATTGTTGCTAGTCAGTTACAAGTATGTATCATTGTTCATTCTGTAAAAGTATATTTTTCAGTAAACTGTCGTTTTATATCATAATGATGAATGAAATGAATGGTACAGTCCAGTGATCTACAAGTGTTTTCTTTTCTAGATAAATCCTGAAGACGCTTCTCTAGAATACTACAAAATAGTGACAACAACCTGGTCGTAACCAAAGAGAACCTGGCACTTAGGTGGCAGCAGGACGCACTGCCTGTGCACCAAAGTGATAAAGTCAATGGCTCGCTCTCCTCTGAAGGTCAACTGGCGGATTTGCTGTATCTGCAGTGGCTTACTGAACAGCGGCATGTAGACGTCGTGCCAGAAGAAGGGCTCAAAGTCCATTGTCAGCGACTGGAAGACACCGGAAGCGACCACCTGACGAAGCAGCCAGTGGCGGTCGACGGTGGAGAGGGCGCCGATGATGGTGAGGTGGTCGAGTTGAGTGAAGAAGGGCACTAGCTTTGCGGGCACGTCAGTTATCTCGGCCATGTCAATCAGCTGAAGGTTCTTCAGCGAGGGCATGCCTGTGGTCAGTTGAGTCCACAGTGCTCGGCAGATTGAGGGCGACTCGAAGGTGAGATTGCTCAGCTGGAGGACGCTTAGCTGAGGCATCCACCCGTCAAGGAGGACTATCAAGCCGAGGTTCACCTCAAGATTGCACAGACTGAAACTGGTGGTGCGTAGAAGGAGATTTCGCAGTGTTAGGGCATTGGTTCCGGTAATGGTGGTGGCGTTCAGTACTAAAACAGCTCGACGTCCTAGTGCATACCGACCTAGTTGCTGGAATCGGCTATTGAGTTGTAGAAGACTGATGATGCTCTTGCTGGGCAGGAACTGGAAGATGGAGAGAAGGTGATCATCGGGAAGGTCAGTGAGCTGCAGCATGCTGGACGACTTGACGACGCTCAGATCATTTCGGACTTGGTGAGCAACTGTTGAGGTGGCCATCGTTGATGGCTGGTGAAGTGTAGTGGTCCAAATAACAATTCGAGCAGCGCCTTTTATGCACTTCTCACAGATCACAGGTTCCAGCACCGACGACTCAAGAGACTTGCAGGAAATGGACTTTTTTGTTGTGGAACAGGAAAAAGTCCCAGTAGACTTGACTGTGAAGTAAAAGAGCTCTAAGAATCATTCTTTGATGCAGTAAACTAACGACTTTTTTATTTTAGTTATTTAAGGCGGGACACCGCGCACTTTTTGACTGTTTTTTAGATTTTTGATTTTGGGGTGGCTATGATAATCATGAAAAGTACACTTAATACAAGTTATAAGGGATTTCATATAGAGCAGTCCTATGTAGATAACCTGGTTNCTTAAATCTTAAACAATTCAGCAATTCAGGCTTTATGATTTAGCCGTCCGTCTGTTTCACTACTTTCTACCGTCGCCGTCGTCTTTGTCGTCGTCGTCTTCAAGCCGCCAACAGTTGATTTGCTGGTGTCCGCCGCTTTACAGGTGGTGTCCTCCTTTGCTTGCTTAAGCGCCCCCGACCGATAGCTGGAAGTCCACCGGGGAATAGTCTCAGCGCTGACCAGGAGAATGATGAGAAGGAAAACCGTGACAGAGACGATGACGCCGATGTTCACCGCATAAGTCGACTTCTTGGTACCGNAAATTTGAAAAACATGAAAAAATTTAACTTTAAAATTAATTTAAAAAACAAGTAAAGCTAAATCAGCAAAATCGAAGACGAACAAAATATAGATTTAGTTGTTACCTTTCATTTGGCATCTCTGATCATGCCATGCCAACTTCCAATTTACCGGAAAGTGTACCGTTCGGTGTAAGATCTTAGTAAAAAATGCCGTTGACTAGTATAGAAAACTAAAAATTCGAAAAAAAATTTCTATGTGCGCGCAGTCCCCCCTTAAATCTTAAACAATTCAGCAATTCAGGCTTTATGATTTAGCCGTCCGTCTGTTTCACTACTTTCTACCGTCGCCGTCGTCTTTGTCGTCGTCGTCTTCAAGCCGCCAACAGTTGATTTGCTGGTGTCCGCCGCTTTACAGGTGGTGTCCTCCTTTGCTTGCTTAAGCGCCCCCGACCGATAGCTGGAAGTCCACCGGGGAATAGTCTCAGCGCTGACCAGGAGAATGATGAGAAGGAAAACCGTGACAGAGACGATGACGCCGATGTTCACCGCGTAAGTCGACTTCTTGGTTCCACAGACGAGAAAGTCTTTGTACGGCATTGAGTTGACCACCTGGGCGGTGTGACCCTTCGGTGTGCTGTTCAGGGGGTAGTAGAAGAGCACTTCCTGGCGGTGGTCGGTGGCCAGCAGGAGAAGACCCTTCATCTCGGAGAAGTACCCACTGCTGATGGAGACGTTCACAAAGACGCACATCGGCAGCTCAGTCACGTGCACTCTGAGGAAATCACTGTGCTTGTCAGTAAGGTGTCAAGCAGTTCCGCTAAACCGATTGAAACTTACCTGATTTCTTTTCTCTTTTCTCTATGCGGTTCCCCGTTATCAAGCTGCCCTAGCTGCTCGTATTCAATCTTGACAATGCAAAAGGTGCCCTCTGTTTGGTTCTCTACCTGAGTCAGGCCGAAAATGACCGATGGCTGATCACTGGAGAGCAGCACCTCTGGAAGGCTGCTCTTTAAAGCGAAAGCCTGATTGGAGCGGAAAAGCGGCAAGCGAGGACCTGGCCTCGCCACCACAGTGTTGAGGATGTGCTCGGAGGTGTTCGGGGTGGTCTGTCGGTTACGGCCAATGTAGAAACGGTGATTAGATGATGAGGAGGAGGCGGTTTGAGTTTGAGTCCGAAGGCCAAAGATGCTGCCCGGTTCCTCTGCCCTGGGATCGACGCCAATTGACTGCATCCACTCGGTGGTCGGATCGAGAAGCATAAAGTTCTCCGGCTGGAGGAAGAAGGTGCACCGAGTGAGGCGACGATTCACCTCTGCGGGCACTATCTCCTCGGGGCGAATGTACGGCAGTGAGGAGGGCAGGAGGATGCACTGCACCTCGCAGTCCAGCGCCAGCAACGGCTCAATGCCGGCGGAGGAGCCGTTGATCGTCAGCAGGGCGAACCACTGGTCATTGGGACCGGCTGGTCCGAAAGCACGCAGCGATAGGGCCTCGTAGTGGGCGTAGCTTTCGCAGACCATTTGTGGTATGTAGGAAGTCTAGGGGGAAAATAATGGAGAATATTTCGGAGAAGAAGACGTCACTTACTGAAAGGTTAAAGCTGTGCATTTCAGTTGAGCAGTGATGATGATGGTGGTCAAGGAAAGAGAGAAGGCTCAACATGATCGTTAGGCGAACGTGAAGACCAGAAGACATGGAAAGTGTGTGAGAAGCAATAGAAGATGCATCGGTTTGAA